GCATGTTCAGACTGGAACCTATGGAACCCTCTTTGTTGTTTGGGGCCACATCAATGACACTATTCAAAGCATGATGCATGGTACTGACAATTCTGAAGACTTCTGGGAGGACGTTTATGAGTCTCTGATGGCTGATGTTCTCTGACAATATGAACAATGGGCATGTACACAGAATCAAAGTAAGTTATCTGACTCCTCACAATAATATTTTGTTCTTATTGAGTATTTTCGAGATCTTAATGAACGTGACTCTTTGGAATCAGTCCAAAAGCAAGTTCGAAGATTGATCATCTGAGGACTGGGTATGTGACAACATTCATTAGTGCATGTGAGTGCTGTCTGACATATTTACAGTTGCAATAACAGGCAAAAAGGACATCACAATGAATTACAACAACTACAATATGGCCATTGTTGAAACATATGCAGTCCACCTGGTAGGATGGCCCCAGGCTGTCAAATTTATCAATCCTTCAAGCATCGGGACTGTCAGCAAAATCCACAAGCTCCATGATACACTGAGGGCCAAGACATGTTACTGGAGTGCTCTGACCCCAGCAGAGGTCAAGGCTCATACTGCTGCACTCAATGTGCGCCGTTTGGCAGGGGAAGTCATTTGGCAGCTGTTACAAACTCGGATAGAGTGTCATTCCAATAAAGGAATCAAGATCAGGGTCGATCAAGGACTAAGCCTTATCGAGTCAATGCCTCCCTCAGGAGCGATCACTTAGACTCCCGCAGGATCTAAGGTTCAAATGGGACAATGGCTAGCCTCCTTCCCAAGGAGCTAGAGTTCAAGTATCAAGGAGAACCAAGTAGATTCAAGTTAGAGAAAATACAAGTGGTAACTAGGGTTTATATACATAAGGGAATCATGCACAGACCATGCTGGGCAAAGGGTAACAACTACTGAGAAAGGAAGGTTCATGGGAAAACAAGGTATGAGTCAAAGATAAGGGAGACCATGAGGAAACAGCACAGTGAAAAGGAAGCGTTAGAAGTACAGCCATATAGGAGTCCGCAGTGATGATGAGAAAAAGAGTGGGACATTGTAACAGCAGCCACACAAGAAACATTCCGATGCTGGAATCCCTCACAAGCACAAGGGCGCACCTACCACTGGACCAGGAAATAAAGAGAACAGAGGTCCATCAAAGAAGGCAAAAAAGCATACCAGCACCCAGCGTCAGGAGGACACCAAAAGTTCAGAGTTTGTCATGTCGTCTGAGGATGAGGGTGAGGGAGAGTAGGGCACCCTGCTACCCTTCCATATATATCATAAATATTTGTATGATCAGTAGCTGTCACTATGTCAAAACGCACCTCTGATATGTTTGAAATATTGTGCTCATCGTGTATGACAGCGAGCACGAAGGTTCGCACGGCGGGCGCAGAATAGCCGACGTCAGGAACATTACCTGCGTTAGAGCCGATGTCTCACGCCAGCTTACATAAGGCTACAGCTGTTTGCTTTTATTATAAGTCAGTCTTTAACCAAGAGATATTGGAGGAGGCTTAGAAACGCTGTAAGTCCGTCATTTTAGACGTGCTAACCCTATCCATAATCACGTCTAATTAGAGGCAGTACGTGGGGGTCACAGGTGCTTAAAACTGCGTTGTCTGGATGATAAATCTACCGCATCACTGCAAGAGGGCTCCATCAAGATTGTACTTATGTGCTGCCTACATTAAGTTGAGGAACTACGTTTGAAAGCACTGAGGGTTGAGCACCACCAAGGGTTCGTCAGCTAACTGTCTGCATTCTTGGAGCTGGTGGATGACGATATACCAAGAACAACTTAACTCTGAAATCATGATCTCCTTAATCACGAACACGGACATTTGCGCATAGTTGTGCATAAGCCTAATTTTTTCGTATGACTTATCGGTGAAAGGATTGTACCATAATATACGGGTATGATCTGCCCAACCAGCCACTGCACGCCAAAGCCCAACTACCGCTCACGCAATCAAAGTGGAAGCAGTAGCAGAGTCATACTTGAGCGTAGGAGGAATCTGCTGCTTTGTCTTGTAGTAGCGAGCAAGACGGTGAATGCGAGACTCGATTAAGATAAGACGGAACTTGGAGTCTTTGTCTTTGCGGTTGACTTCAAGGTGCTTGCGCACGGCCACCGCCTTTTTGACGAGGTGCCAAAGGTCCTCTGGGATGGATGGTGCCAATCCTATCCCCAAACAAAAGGCATGTACAAACAAGATGCAGTAGCAGAAATGCACGGCAACGAGGCAGATGGCGGTTCAGCATGTGAGTGTTTGGCGAAGTAATTGGTCGATAAAGCACGCACCGTTGGATTTGAGGATACGGAGGATTTTGTTACCAGTGACGAAGCGCACTTGAGGGATACCGTGCGAATCACGGAGGGTAACACCGATCTGCGAGGGAGTGAGACCCTTGCGGGCCAATTTCATGATGTGCTCGACGACTTCATCGGGCGTAGTCTTGAGCCACGAAGGAGGGGAACGCTTGTAAGGAAGGGCAGAGGACGCTGATGAAGATGAAGATGATCAGAACGGATCCTATGTATCAATAGAGAACATTTTGCTACGCACAAATGCCCTTGCCGGGAGCGTGCATACGACCCATGATGAATCTAAACCATCTGGTCAGCTTTGAACAATACTACTTTGCAGAACGCTCACAGTTTTTGTTGACGGAGAGGATGTCTTGAGTGTCGTTGGACGCGTTCACAGAAAGGTGATGTAACGCGTGACAAGTCAGTATGTGGCTTAGCAACTGTATAGTAGCAAACTTTATTTTCCACTTCAGCCACAAGCCGGAATGTGCCACTGTTGAACACAAGGCCCAGGCTAACCAGCAAGATCAAGACTCCTCCTCGTCGCTGCAGCCCACGGTGACAAGGCCTTTTTCCCTTTCGTAAGGTGAACTCTTGACGTTGATATTAATTTTGAGCTCGTGTTAATCATTCATTCTCTGCGGGTAGTATGAAGATCAATATTGCCAGTGCGTTCAATGTCCAACATGTTCAATACAGTTTAAACTGACGTTCGATCCAGACCCCGCCACTGGGGCTCAAAAGACCATTAACATTGACGACGAGAGAAGATTGTACGATTGGCACAACTCTTTCTATGAAAACTAACCAAAGTTCTTGAAACTAGCCGTATCTTCTTCGACAAGAAGATCTCGCAAGAGGTCGAGGCAGACACCCTTGGAGACGAATGGAAGGGTTACATTCTCCGTGTCACCGGTGGTAACGACAAGCAGGGTTTCCCCATGATGCAGGGCGTCCTGCTCCCCAACCGTGTCAGACTTCTCTTGACCGACAACCACTCTTGCTACCGTGCAAGCCGCTCAGGCGAGAGGAAGCGCAAGTCTGTCCGTGGTTGTATCGTCGGTCCTGACATTGCCGTCCTCTCCGTCGTCATCGTTAAACAGGGCGATAATGATATCCCTGGGCTCACCGACACCGTTCTGCCCAAGCGACTTGGTCCTAAAAGGGCAACAAAGATCAGAAGGTTCTTCAACTTGTCGAAGGAGGACGATGTCAGGAAGTACGTTGTGAGGCGTGAGGTGAAGAGCTCGAAGAAGGAGAATGCCAAACCTTACACCAAGGCGTCAGTATACCGTCATCTCGTTTTTTTAGGGAGGCTGATGTTTTCTCCTTATCCAGACCCAAAATCCAAAGATTGGTCACTCCCATCCGTCTCCAACGCCGCCGTCACCTCCGTTCTCTTAACCGTCGCCGGATCGACCGCCAGAAGGAGCAGAAGGCAGAATACGAGTAAGTGATGTAGTCCGCACGAAACCCGGTCCGCCATAGTAATCTCTCCATTAGTGCCCTTATGCAAAAGCGTGTTGCTGAGAAGAAGGCCAAGGTTGCAGCCATCAAAGCCTCTCACCACAAGTATGTTTTAGACTGTCATCCTTCAAGATCCCGCGCTCATGTAATTCATTCAGGACTGCCTAAAATAATCCCCGCACATCATCCCACACTTCATGTCATGCTTCTTATGGTACCTCATGTCACGCCATGCTTTGACGCTATACTATCTGCATTAAAGCCATTGCTGATATGTCATTATCAAGTGAATATTGACGGGCTCCAAGGTTTGGAATACTTTTGAAGCCATATGTTTTCTGAGCTAGATCGCTGAGCTTGCCATTGCGCGTTTGATTGCTGTGTCATTTCAATTTACAGACTAGGTTACCTTACTCGATCGACTTTTGCAAAATAAGATGTCATGGGTTTGATGTCTCATTTGATGGACGCTCGTCCTGCTTGCTTGCTCCCTTCTGCCATAGGACGCATGATAGATTTACAACATCGTACTATTTAACGCTGGATCCCCTCGGCCAATTACGTAACTGCTCGCGTCTGGTCCCGGTTATTGATATGCACCGTGACCACCTCTTGCGTATTTGAAGGAAGCACGGATGAAGTTGGAGTGGCAGATCGATTATGTGGCTCAGAGTTGCGAGCTGACAGTTTTACTTCGGATCAGCTGTCAGGTCGCACATGTCGTCCGCTGATCTGCACCCTCGCAGTGTCATGCCATTAATGTTACCTGTGCATGTGCCTCGTTCCTCGCTTACCAGTGCGTCGGCCAGTAAGATAGGCCTCACTCAAACACCACCAACGTCATGTGATGTGACAACGATGTGACTCTCACTCAAACTTTGCGGTGCGTAAAAGCTGAGTGCTGAGTGCTGGGCCTGGGGGGGGGAGGGTACAGACAATAGAAAGGTGTATATAGTAGTACTAATAGTTGTATAAAGGTATATAGGTGCTTTAATTGAGCTTGGCGAGATCATTGAAAACAGACAGTGGGAGAGTGGTGACCATGATACTTTTTCATTGCAAATGCAGCTTGTAGACTGAGCACAGATCGTGTTATTGCATTGCTTTACAGGCAATAATGGTAAATCTGTTTCCTGCGAATGGCGGGGGGGTTATATAGGCTGTAATGCCTGAAAGCCATTTACTATTTAATATAGTGTAGCCTCTGAAATAAGCAAATGTCTCCCTCAAAATTGCAGCAGCGTGACTAAATACATCACGTGACGTTGGTGGTGTTTGAGTGAGGCCTATCTTAAATTCTGGGAAACTTTTTCCTGTGAAGTACGTAAAATTCTACTTGGGCGAACAGCTCCCATGTCTGCAGTCTCAGGCATTACAACGGCGCCCTACAATTCACTTAGCTTGAATCATGTACATCGATGAATCTGAGCTCTTCGCTTACTTGGTTGGAGCGGGCCAGTTATCGAAACCAAGGTCAATACCTGGATAGTATACGTCAGTGCAATCACTTTCGCGGCCATTACCACCACTCACCCCAAGGAGGCATGGTGAAACGTTTCTGCTTGCCACCCGCAGCTACACCGTCAAGGATTTTGATGTCCTCTGGCGTCAGCATGTTGTATGCCTTTAGTGCGCCAGTCAAGTTAGATTCGATACGGGATGGTGACATTGATTTGGGAAGGATAACTATGTCCTTTGTCACTGCATTCAGATCCGTCAGCTACCCCTCTCTTGCGCAGGGCAAATAATAAGCATGAACACACGCAGGTAACCGAGAAGGACGTCAGACGTGCTCTTGAGACCACGCTTCTTCGCAATCTCAGTGGCAGACTCATCGGTCAACAGTGGAGCGCCCGTCGAGCCGAGGGGCGAGTATGCTTGTGGAACAATTTTCTTTGACTTTAAGTAATCCAGAAGTTTTAGCTGGGGATTGTACAGGTGAAGCTCGAGCTATAAATTTCAATGGTCAGTTTCGAATGGGCGTCGTTGCGTCGAACGTGCCTGATTAACAGCCGGTATGATCTCAGCTGTGGGCAAAATCTTCTCGAGCATCATCTGGGAGAAGTTTGATGCGCCGATTGCCTTGACTTTACCCTTCTTTACCATGGCCTCCATAGCCTTCCATGTGTCCCTGATGTCCCGTGATTCATCGATGTCAAATTTTCCGTTAGGGTGCATCGGCATAAGAGGGTGGTTCCCATTCACATTCAGCGCGACAGGCCAGTGCACGAGATAGACTGATAGATGAGACGATTTATGTCAGTCAAAGCAGTTGTGCTTGAATAAACGCGGATCCCACGGTCAAGATATGTTGTTCCCAAGTTCGCAAGCGTCTGGTCAAGAGATTCCTCAACGCGTCTATGGTATGTACCCCAAACCTTGCTGGTGACCTACCAAAGCCGCCTCCATAAAATGAAACGGAGTGAATAATACGGATAATATGTTATACGCACAAACACATCCTCTCGCGGAACGCCCGATGCAAGCAGACCGTCGCCAACTGCTTTCTCGTTCCCATAAAACCTTCCGTGCGGTGCGCATATTAGAATCATTTCACAATCAAACCAATGCTCCCTACCAAGCACAATCAATGTGTCTGTAGCCCGCCTTTAGCCCATGTTCCACAGCGCGGGCGATTTCACTAGCATTGGGTTTCGGTTGCCATGTTCCTGGGCCATTACTAAGTCCTACATCTCATCTTCAGCTAACAAGTTGGAGAACTCACCGAGTCCGATAGCAGGGATGTTCTGTCCATTGTGGAGAGCGATGAGATGAGACGACATGGGTAGCTAGAAACCTTGAAGCTGAGTCGGTACTGGTCATCTTCGTGATCGTGAGATTCCGAATTCAGAATCAGATTGAAATCGGATAGTAACCTATCCCCAATTGCAACCATATAATCTGGTTTTCGAGAGTGCGGCGTTTGAGGATGGCATCGATCGACCAGCGACAGTCTGAGGACGGCAGCACGATGCGGGGTGTGTACATGGATTTTTGCGAGACCAGCGATAAAACAAAGGCATCCATACAAGGCACAATGAGTCCTATGCCATTCGACTTGTGAACCGAGCACTGAATAAGAAGCAGCAGTAGCATCGCCCTTTCCACCCCTCAGGCTATTTCTTCCGTATATTTATCTGTGCGGGCCTGGTACAGTCCTTGGGATGAAAGTCTGGACGTTAGGGCGCTCGAGACCGATACTAAAACTGAAGTAAAACTTCAACCTGAAGCTGCCGTAGACTCAGGTGATCGTTGTGAGTGATTATGTAATCAGGCGGTTTAACGTTTGGCGCGTCTTGGGTCTCTCGAACAAACTGCCGACACGCTGATACTGCATAAAGCTGCAGTTCCTGTATAAAGCCTTCATCAAACACGCTGAATTATGAACGTTTGAACACCGGGCGCGATGCTAAAACCAAGCTCGAAGCGAGCACGTACTCTTTGCATCAGACTCATCTGGAACCTCGCGGAAGAAATATATTATGACCATCCGATATCGATCATTTGCCGCATCACTCCTTAGGCACTATCCCAAGATAAGGATCAATGTCTACTCTTCCACGGAAGGCCTAGACTGTTAGGTGCACATCATCAACAAGGAACATACTCGGAATCTATGAATTCTCACCTCCGAACGCCTCGATAGCTGCTACTATCTACTCCTTACGGCGCGAGAAATTGAAACTCAATTCCTCGAGTGCACTGTTGACCATTTCTACACCTAAAACATACACCGCGTGATCTCAGCGAATCACGAGTCGTTTTTACTCCTCCTGCGTCTGAGATTTCTCTTCTTCCTCCGAGTCGTCCTCACGTTAGCTCAAGCGACGTGTATCAATTATTCAGTCTGGTCGTTGTTGAGGGTGATGAGAGGAGATGAGTTGTGTAGACTTAGAGACGTTGATGTGATACCATGGTACTTATTCCTGCAATTTGGATGAATTCGTCATGACAGCCAGTGACCAGAAGCATCTCAGGATGTAGATTCATGCCTACCCTTTCCACCAAACCAAAAGCAAAGGTTACATTGTGACGCACCAACCGGACAACGAATCGTGACACACAACCAGAAGCCCACCAGCGCGGACAAACCAAGTTCAAGTTGTCTTTGCCAATTACAGGGCAGCATAAAGAAGATAATAAACGCCTTCAAGAAATAGCAGAGACGACTGTGGCTACCATTGAAACTGGGACGGTTATCGTCAACAATACCCCACACAACATTATTCCCAAAGTCAACTTCACGAAGGATCGCACTGATCATTATGCCCCAAATTCCCAGCTTTATGCCTGGTCGACTTCTGGACTACCGACCAGTGCTAACCCCTCCTCTGCTCATGGATGCGAAATCTCTGCCCTGGAGATGATGAATCTCCAAGGCGCAGCTGCTGTATGATACTCTATCAAACTCGAATTCGGGAGGCGTGAGTATGCCAGGCTTACCGAATTTTGGAGATGCGACTTCTCCGGGAAGAAGATTCTTGATTGGTCTTGCAATTCAAGAACAAACCACTGTTCGTTCACCCACACTTTTCTCTCTCTCATGACAGACACTACTTAGCAGTTCTACAATCACCATCGCTGCGGCTTCACTATACATTCGTCTACGCCCCTTCGGCTGATAGAAGTCACGATGCGAGAGAGGATGTCGAGGGTAGCGAGGCTATGGAGAGAGCTTTTGATTGGAAATACTGCTCGATTCAACGCGTCCTTTGATCAAGTGATGTTCGGTATTGTTGGAGATCTGGAGACATTCATGACATTCATGTGTTTAATCCTAGCAAGTACAACGAGTTCGGTAACTGTAGAATATGTGTACATATATCTGTGAAGAACGATGAGGCGTGCGTTAACAGTGGCAGCAGAATAGTCAATTTATCCACAGGTTCGAGACAGAAAGGCTGAGTTCGTACACGTTTAGGCCCACATAGCCTTGAACTTTTCATGGAACTCTTCGAGCGCACCATTGACCACTTCGAAAACTCTCCAGTCCGCACCTGACACTCCTTGCGGTCTCTGCGAATCACAAGGCGATTCCCACTTTCCCTGCTCCGGCTTCCAAGACGTCTCCTCTTCATCCTCCCACTGGACTGGGTCAAGGGATGCATATCCACTGTCTGCCTCCTCGCTGAGGTCTGCATTCTCTAGCGTCGCACCTTTGTCGTCGGCGGACCTCTTTTGAAGGAGTTGCTCAAGTACCCCACGCACAGTCATTAGCGTGAGGTCAAAGTCCTGCAATAAAAACCAAACTTCACCCCGTCTGATTGCGTTCGCAGCGGCAAGAGCCGCCACCTGTCCGTGGATGTAGAAGTCAAGGAGGTATGCGTTCAGCGCGTATTTTCTGCTTTCTTGATTAGTTCTCCCAGTGATGCCTTCGAACGATGGGATGGTGTGTTCGTTCAGGCTCAGTCCACGGCGAGCCGTTTGAGCGAGGTCATGAACACTGTCGAAGTGATCATCGTGGCCCGAGTTAGCGACAAAGAGCGACCGTGCGACAACACGGATCGCGGTACGGTGAAGATGGTCGCGAATGAGTGACGGTTCATCTTCTGCAGTACCCGATATATTCCTTTTGCTAAGAGGCAGGATATGATCGGGCCCAAGGTCCTTTTGGTGCTGAGTCCCGTAGGTAAGGGCATATCCGGTGAAAATCTGGAGGATTTCACGCTCTTGCTCTATGAGCACGTCACGAGCTGTCTTAGACAGTGGTGGCAGTACGACCATTGATGGCGACTTCTTGACCACCTTCGTGATGTACTCTTCTTTCATGCAAGCAGAAGGCAGGTACCGCCGTCCAAAGAGGTGGGCCATCAACTGGATGAAGTCGAGCTTCGCAAGCCTCAGGCTAGGTTGCGCACAAATCTTATGGACCACGCCGCTGCGAAGCAGAGCAACTAGGGCCAAGTTACTGGGCTCCGTGTAATACAAATGTGCGGCTATTCCAAAAAGATTGAGCGGCTTCCCCTGCTCATCGAGCAGACGGGCACGACGCAAGTAGTCGATTGAGAAGCGTAGATGGTGTAAAAGCTGGTGTTTTCCTTCCTCAGAGCCAAAACTGACTTGTGGGAGGCGGAAGAGCCGCTGCACAGCAGCGACAGCAATCGTGGAATAATTTGAACCTTCCAGCAGATTGAACAGGCGCACGACGAGAGTTGATGTTACAGGGAAACTGGCAGAGAGGGATGGCAGTTTCGAGAGTACTAGTCTCTGTACCCTGCTCATGGGAAGAGCATAGAAAACGACTTTACCCAGGGTGTCATATCCTCGCCGTCCAGCGCGTCCCGCACATTGTCGATACTAGGGCCATCAATTAATGACGAATAAGTGAAACAATGGGAAACGAACCATGAGTGCAGTGAGGAAGGGTGAGTCGCCGCAGAAAATTGAAGTTTTGGTCGGGGCGTTGATACCTAAGGCAAGAGTGCCTGTAAATGCAGTCTAAGGTTAGCGACCCTACAAAAACAATGGAACACTCACCCGTTGCGAAAATCACGCGCACGAAGCCACGGCGGAAGAGGCTTGATTTGTTGTCAGACAGTGGTGCTACGTTGGAAAAAAACTTACCTCTCAACCAGAGAGCGATACCCTCTGTTCATACCAGCATGGTGAACAGCAATCCCACGTCTCAAACATTTCAATGCCCATTCAGGTGGAGAGGGTTTTCGCCTCTCAAGATCAGCGATATCCTCGTCAAGTTCTGATGCAGTGTACGAAGTACTTTGACCAGCGAACGAGAAGTCTGGCAGGGGATCGTCAGGTCTGAAGGATGCTTGCCATTCACTCGTGTCAGCGCGCCTATCCTCTTCATCGACCTTGTGTTTCAATGCTCGTACAGCTTTGCGTTCCCGCTCTTTTGCGCCTTGAAGGTATGCATCATATTGTGCCATTTTGCGTTTCCATTCCGGACTACTTTCCCGCCATTCGTCTTCCTGGGTCTCGAGCACGTCGTTCAAAATTTGGGCCATTTTCTCACAATCGCTTCGATCGAATGAGAAGAAGATACCGGGCTAAATGAACAAGGACCCCATGAATATAAAGAAGGAAGGTTTGTCGGGTACTCACAAGGTCCCCTTGTGCGTGAAGATCGGCGACCAGATGAATGAGATTGTAGGCAGATACAGCGCGATCAGGTTGAGAGTTCAACACTCTGTCTGGGACGCGAGATAAAATATCATCTTGAAGCTGGGTAATGACGCGCGACAACGGCGTCTCGGAGTCTTGCGAATCAAACGAAGATAACAATGGCGTGAGGTGTTGTTTAAGAGTCTCCTCGTATCGGATTACGTCCTTCTGTTGAAGCAGTTTACTAGAGGCAAAAAATACCGCGGGATCGAGGGAAACGAGAACAGAGGGCTGAAGGGCTGTACATGTGCTTAAAGCACGATATAAATTCAATGCATCCATCGCTTCCAACGCGAGATCAGAGGGGAGAGAACGTGCGCTGGTCGAAAGAATGGACAGCGGATGCAGAAATCGCATCCTTTCTGTAGTCTTGTACATTGAGAGGCCTCGGAAGGCATCTCTTGGCTTCTCGTGAATGTTGTAGTAGAACTTCCTCAAGTGCGAATATCGATGGGGATAATGCACGAATTTGTGCTGGAACCCACCCGCTTTCTGAACGCTTTCGAGCCATTCGTTGAACCTTTCTGGAGCTCCGACCGTGGCAGACAGACCTCTATTCATGCGAGAATCAGTACATGATTGGTTGAATACAAAAGTGACGTACATGACAGGACAAGGGGACAGGAGCAGGATCTGTTCCCAAACAGCTCCGCCCTCCTGCTGGCCGATTGTGTGGATCTCGTCAAGGATGACACTACAGTAGAACGTGAGAGGGAGATACACATGTATCAAACTGATATTCGTACTATTTGAGCCGTGGGGTCCACATCTTAGCGAGTGGAGGAGATAAAAGCATGATCGCCAGGATCTCAGGGACGGTGACAAGGATTTGGCAGTTCTGCGGATCGTGGACTCGGAAGTCACGGGAATGGATCGCCCAGCAGCTACCTGGAGTTGAATCAGCGACGATTACTCCTTGAATACGAGCCCACGAGTACTCACGACCGTTGAGATCCTTGCTAAACCTAGCATAAATCTCAGCTGCAACCTGAGCGACAAGGGCTTTCGTGGGCGCAATATAAACGAGTATCCCGTCATCAGACCCTCGGAGAACCTCCTCCATAGCGTAATACGAGATGAAGGTCTTCCCCGCACTGGTAGGAGCTACAAATAAATGAGTAGTTGTTCTACCTCCGAAACTAAGCATTACTAACCTACGACGAGAAGAGACATATTTTGGTCGATAGCGTCAAGCACCTCACGTTGCCACGCATCTGGCTTGAAGGTCACTCTTGCGTCAGCCTGACTATCCATGCTCCTATCCATGAATTCCCCAAATAACCGAAGTTGCCACACGATAGGGTGCTCCTGCACTCGCATAAAGTCATAGACCGCAGTCTTGGTTTTGGACTTGACCAGCTTGACGAAGCGAAAACTTAGTGCCCTGTCATCAACCGAACCTGAGACCACGAGACTATCAATGTAGTCGCTGAAGCCAAGGGCAATCAACACGCTCGTGATTGCATTAGCCATCTCTTTTGAGCTAAAGCCAATCTCCCAAACTTCCTTGATGAGACGCATGAGCAACAGAGAATATTTGTCGCGGCTCGTCGAGGAGTCTGGATTAGCGGAATAGATCCACTCTCGGAGCAGGCGATGCATACGATAGACCCGAAGTTCCGCGCCTACTGATGCCTCCCTAGTTCGCGGATTGCGGGCAAGAACTCGCAGGCACTTTTCGAGGCCAGTGCCATCCAGGCTTTCCATCTCTTGGACGCGGGACGCAATCCACGCTGCAGACTCAGACGCTTGTTTAGATCCCTTCTTTGCAATATTCTGTTCACGGATAGCATCGGCTTTTGACAGCTTGCCGGTAATTTTGCTTGACGAACGAGCATGAACTTTTGGCTGAAGGTCCGTGATAAGTGACAGAAGTCATGGATACTTTACCTGAGTACTGACCTTCGCGTTGCGCTGATTTGCAAGGGAGGCTGCAGTCGGTATTTTCACTTGTTCGAGGACAGCTCCCAATGCACCTGTCAAGGTGCTGGCTTGGTCATGCAAGGTCTTCATGAAGCGTTGGTCCGAACGAAGTTTCCGATTACGCTGCCATTCAGTCATCGGTGCCGTAGCATCTCCTCCGAGGTGCTTGGGCAGAATGGCCATTCTATGGTTGTGCCAGTGCTGCGTGTCAGAAAAGAGCGTGTCCTCTCGGGATGTTTTATTTTGAGAAGAACGAGCAGATGGGAGGACATCAGCGGACTCGTCACTAGTGCTGCTATCGTCCCACTCCTCAGACTCTTCTCCGCTAGAAGCGACAGGTTCTATGGGATTGGGGCGTGTGACGCTCTCTGTGGCAATGTGGACGGCAGAAAGCTCCTCGTCAAACACTGGGTTGGAAAACGGAAGGAGCTTGAGGGGAATTGGTATCTCATACGGCTCGTCAGGAAGGAAAGATACGCTCAAACACGAAAAGTTGAGGTGCGGGAGCTTCAACTCAGAAAAGATATCTTCTGCATTTTTGGCCACAGCGGGTCCCAGAATCTCCGTTAATGATTGAGCTGGATGCTCGGAAAGATAGCGCAAGACACAAAGGAATACACGAATATCAATGTCGAGGGATGCATCATTTGCTACAAGGACTGCTTCTGTTGCTTGAATGATGCGAGGTAGGAAGGATTTCATCAATGTAGTGAAAAGGTCAGGTTTCATTGGCGCCAGGCGCCGCGCTCGATCCTGGACAGAGATACTCTTGAGAAGAAGAACGTGGATGATGAAAACAGCAAGTAGCGATGGCTGAGTGTCGCTCTTGAATGCTAAAAGATATGACAATCCAACATCCTTCAAGGTCGCGCGGAGATCAAAGGAAGATAGGGACGCCGATGCTTCACTGAGGACGCAGCTGCGGACTTGATCGAATGGCCCTTGTTCATGACTAGCAAGAATGTCCATGGCAGCAACACCCGCAGATAAAACAGCACCAGGAAGACGCCCTTGATGGCTTAAGCGTAGCTTTGATTCGAAGACGAAAGATAATATCTATAGCATGACCAACAATCAAGTAAGAAAATAGAACAGGAAGGAAAACGAAGTGTGACCTTGGTATCCTTGAAATCAGCACCCTGGAGCGGCGCCATTGCCAAGCCACTAGCCAGCAAATCGAAGATGAATAATCGTTGAACGAGTATTTGATGGGCGGCGAATTGTCTACCGACATCTTCCTTCAGTATACCGCCGTCATTGACCATGACAAACATTGGCTATAACGGAGTGAGAAGAAGTAATCATATCTTGTGGGACTCATACCTTCACTCGAACACGATAATCGACCCAGTTTTTGTCGGAGAGACTTGCAAAGGTGAAGGTATTCACCGAATCCAGCGACTGGAGGTGCTTATATAAGAGTCTCCTGGCTAGGGCTCGCGATGCAACAGCAAACTCCGACTCGCCCGCTCGCAGTACTAGGTGTCGGTTGACTAAGACATTATCAATAAGATAGACTCGGATGGTGACATGGAGAAGTGGCCTCACCGTCAAAGAAAACGATATCAAAGTTAGCTGATCGATTTCGAAAGTTTTTCAGTATGCATTCTAGTGAATAGATCGCATGAATGATCTGAAATGATGGGTCTTCAACAGCGCCACCGTTCAAGTCATGTCAGAGAAAAATATCTGTGCTAGACCTCAGTGACGTACCATCATCCTTCGCTAGTGCGAGCAGACGATCATCAAGCACAACTTGGAGTAGGGAATGACCTAGGATGTAGATGGGCATCAACTTGAAAGTTAGGACGATTAGCAAGTTAAACAAGTACCGTCAATTACAAAAGGTTCGGCACCAGCATAGTCTCCTATGAGGTCCATCCAGCGCGCGTTCCTACTTGCAGGTGCGAACCAAGTCGAATCGATCCACTTCAAAGCTCCTACAACAGTGAATGATTTTGATGGCTTGGAGCCCTCGATGGCTCGCTCGATATCAACTTCAAACTCCTCAAAATCCATAGTGCGGATGGTGATGTAAGTAGGAACCGAGTGGTCTACAGTCTTTTGCTGCTCCGACTATTTGTTTCTGCCAAAGGAGATAGCCAGGATAATCGCCTCGAGGCGCAATCACCCAAGAGATCGATGATACGGCACAAGACTGAGTCAAGAACTGGGCGGCGCTTACTCGCCTAATACAGAAGAAAACTTCAAATTGGAGTTGAAATTGGGAGACTCGGCCATTGACAACGTTCTCGGAAGCGCCGCTGAATTGACTCGATTGAGTTCAGAATACTTATCGATGGCAAGAAACTTTGCAAGGATCAAGAAGCAATTGGACAATATCAAATGATCGTGCCCAGTTGAATCTTCTTTCTGCACATGCCTGTTCAAGTTATGCATCGATATCCGACGATTCTCCGTCAATATTCAATAACGAACTTGTTGGTCGCTAGGTGCTTGGCAGTGCTAGGCTGGCACGTAGGGTCATGACCCACGAGACAAACGCGAGATATTGGAATCTCAGGGAAGTAAAAGCAGTATCAAACGATGTGTTGCATATGAAACTGTGAGTTTTTAAAAAACTCGGCCTCGCTGCGGACTTTGCATTCAAATTAGGCGTGATACCTCCGCGCACTTGACCGCATTTGGATGCAAAAGTTCGTGCGAGGCCAAGTTTTTACTACTGTGGTTTCATAGTATGTAACAAACCGTAAATGGTCGCGTGGATGACTAGCAGCCGGGAAGATATCGACGATATCGATAAGTACTTGACTGGTACCATTAAGATTCTTCGGTCCATCCCGAGACCATCTTCAATATTAATGTGATCGTGGACTCGGAGAAGTAAACTGAACTTGATCTTATCAGGCTCAGCCGCTCGAGTTGACCACACTCTCACTGATTATGGGTATCAAAGCATCTACTTAGAAAGAATGACGAAATAAAGGTGCCCAGAAATGAAAAGATTCAACTTCCAGCTGGACCCTAGTGCCCGTTGATTAACAATCATATGGCATTCGTCTATGTATTCGGATCAACATCAGCTTGGCCATCATACGTGCAGTCGCACCGGTCGGTCCGTACTGACAGTCGGGCCGCACGAAACGATATTCGGAACTAGCTGATGCATTTACGTACTACTATGCACATTGTACTATATCACAATCACTTATGGCGCCCGAGACCTGGCAGAACATCTCCCGAACCCACGTAGATATGTTATCTCTGGGCACCGCGTGAACAGAGATTATCTGTGACTTGAAGATGAGGCAGGGATCATCTGATTCTGATGAAATCTCACGATGGTCTCGTGCAAGTCATAGTCCAGAGCCGGCATGGAGAGATAACATCGCGTTGTTAACCTCACACCGTCTCTAGTTACCTATGGCATCGCATTTCACTACCCTTAATAATGGCCAGATCATCCCTGCAATCGGGCTTGGTGAGCTCTTGAACTCAGCTCAGGGTTGATGACTGACTGACAAGTTGGACAGGAACGTGGCAATCGAAACCCAATGAAGTCGCTCGCGCCGTCGAACATGCGCTGAAGGCAGGCTATAGACACATTGACTGTGCCTGGTAGGAAACGTTTGTTGATCGTGAAATAATCCTAATGATTGCTTTACACTGAAGGGCGTATGGGAACGAAAAGGAAGTCGGGGAGGGTCTGCGTGCATCGGGCGTTCCGCGGGAGGAGGTGTTTGTGCGTACGACATATCTCACGGATTCATTACCCTGTTCATCTGGGTATTGATAGATCACCAGCAAGCTTTGGGGTACATACCATAGACGTGTTGAGGAATGCCTCGACCAGACACTCGCAAACCTGGGAACAACATATCTTGACCGTGAGATCTGCATTTCTCAGGTCTTGTTTGACTGATGCTGACAGTCTTAACTACCAGTTTACCTTGTGCACTGGCCTATTGCGATGAACCCGAATGGGAATCACCCTGTCATGCCGATGCGCCCGAACGGAAACCGTGACATCGATGAATCCTGGGACCTCATAGACACCTGGAAGGGTATGGAAGCCATGGTAAAGAAGGGTAAAGTCAAGGCAATTGGTGCATCAAACTTCTCCCAGACGGTACTCGAGAGGATTTTGCCCACGGCTGAGATCATCCCGGCTGTTAATCAGGTGTGTTTGACGTAATGTCACCATTCAAAACTGACCATTGAAACACGTAGCTCGAAATTCATCTGTACAATCCTCAGCTCGAACTTCTTGAGTACTTGAAGTCGAAGAAAATTGTTCCACAAGCATACTCGCCCCTTGGTTCGACCAACTCTCCGCTGTTGGCCGATGAGTTTGCCACAGAGATCGCAAAGAAGCATGGCCTCAAGAGCACGTCCGATGTCCTTCTCGGCTACCTGCGTGCGTTCATGCTTGTCATTCGCCCCGTGCAATATAGTGATGATTGACGTGTCTGATTGCAGTGGCGAAGGATATCATTGTCCTTCCCAAATCAGTGACACCATCCCGTATCGAGTCCAACTTGACCGGCACGCTAGAGGCATACAGTGTGCTAACACCAGAGGACATTAAAATCCTCGACGGTGTAGCAGCAGGTGGCAAACAGAAGCGTTTCATTATGCCTCCCTGGGGTAAGTGTTGATAATAGCGGCGAAAATGATGGTACTGAAATGTGCTATCCAGGTATTGACCTTGGCTTCGATAATTGGCCTGTTCCAACTAAGTGAGTGGTAGGTGCAGTCATTCATTGATGTATATGAATGATGGTAGGTAAATGGGAGACCACCACTGTAACATCTGAAACAGACATGAAACGGTCTGCATCAGTAGAACTGCATAGATACATTTTCACATCATTGACTGGCCGACACACTGGCAAATGAATGACGGGAATGAAAGAATGCAACGCGATGGTGAGATGGCACAGCCCAGGAGTAAGGAAGTGCCTCCATTCACACGATGGGGCAAACCGGCAGGCGATACAGTTGATCTTGTGCATGTCGGATGCGGTAGAATTTTCGGATCGGAGCAAGGATTTAGCGGGTTATTGTAAACAAGCGTGCGACCACTTTGCAAGACTGAAAGTACTCCTTGAGGGTATGGCCAGTCGTCCTCGGGATAGAAATGACAGCTCATCACTTGTCAAGACGATAGGTGATACATACATTTTGATTGCGTATGTGCCAGCACAAAGAGAAGGATCATGATGGTTAAGTGTGACCTGAAGGAGAGATGCACAGCTCGTAAACTCATCTCATCATCCATACTAGGATTATCATGCAGGTTTGACCGCGTGTGTCCGTAAATATATCACGAGAGTCCGTGGGGCAACGGTTGGCCTGACGAGTCACAGATGGCGAAAAGACCCACACATGTTGAGGAAGATTTCTAGACCGACGCAAACAGATCAAGACTCGAAGATTCTGGTAAATTTCCTCAATTCGCCCAGCCAGCAAAGTAAAATCTCGAAGGATACCCAAGTAGTACTTATGGTCAAGAGCCCGAGAGCTGGGAAAGCTGAGGTTAATTGTTAAACAAATCATTCTCTGGACCTGTGTGATGCGTGCACGCTAGTCGTGACTAGTCATGACGGCAAATTGACTTTCTGCCATAAGCGCATGAGTCCGTCCGGTTCTTACCGTGCTTTATGCAACGCCAAGTTGTTGCATTCTCATGTGAACCTGAGTAAGGGCTGCACCAAGAGAAAAAATTCAGCTGTCAGTGGCCTTGTACTCTTGCGGTTACTCGGATTATCATTATAACGCCAACGGAAAGTGAGATTAAGTTAGGTTAGGTTACCATCGATTCAATATTGGATCACGGAAGCGAACGAGAGTTAGACTGAGTTAGACTAAGCAAGTCCAGATCCTGTGCAAACCTTGACGCCGAGTCGGGACTCAAACGTGTTACTAGATGGGCCGACAACGGCAATATCATTGTTGGAAATGGTAGTTGATGTTCAGCACGATGACCAGCTGGTCACCAACTACGCAGTACTTGTTGTCTACAGAAAACGGTTGTCGGCCAGATCAACTCTTCCGTGAGCCGAGAAGACATCGGAGCCACGCAAGAGCCACGTGGTCGGCAAGGGTCGGCATGGGCTTGCGGGAAGGGTCCGCGGCACCAATTTGCAAAAGGACCGACCGACATACTAATAAGGAAGTTGTCAATCTTTCAAATTGTCGTCATCAATTTTGCGGGAAACACGTACTGTGAATCAGTGCAGGGCAGTTTCAGGTTCTCTTGGTGCTCGCGATGGTCGCATTCGTATATAAGGCAGCTTGTCTGTCTCTCTCATTCCCACTAAGCCTCCCGCTCCTCCCCCCAAATCCTCACTTCGCCATCACTCTTAGACATGCCTGCTGTCGTTATTAATCCACATGCCGGACACGAGCTCGACGCTCTTTCCGATGCAGTCGATGACGGTGTGTATTCATCACGCCGTTCCACCGCTTCGTGACGTGACTTACCATCTCTCTGCAGTAAATGTTCTAAAGGCTAAAATTTGGGACTCTCAGTCTGAGTTTGATTCTACCAAAGACAAGACGACCTTCCGGCAGTATGAGACTGCCTGCGATCGCGTCAAGAATTTTTACAAGGAGCAACATGGTGATTCATACATCCGATCTACTAATTCACTATGTGGTACTGATGCTGCCATGTAGAAAAACAGACTGTAGCTTTCAACATCAAGGCCCGCATGGAATTCAAGAGCCGGAAACGCGCTCGCATGGGTATCTGGCAAGCTATGGAAATGCTCAATACGCTTGTAGATGACTCGGATCCAGACGTCAGTGATTTATTGGCTTGCGATTTTCCTTTGCTGACTCGCAATACATATTTAGACTGAGCTTTCGCAAATTGAGCATTTGCTCCAGACTGCCGAGGCCATTCGGCGCGATGGCAAACCTGAATGGATGCAAGTTACCGGTTTGATCCACGACCTTGGTAAGCTGTTGCACCTATTTGGCAGTGAGGGCCAGTGGGACGTCGTCGGTGTAGGTTCCTTCATCCGGTATTCATGATGACATGCAGACTGATATGCTTCTTCACGCTAGGATACCTTCATCGTCGGCTGCGCTTTCTCCGATAAAAACATATACCCCAGTACCTTCGCCGGTAACCCAGACTTTCACGACGCCGTTTATTCTACGCAGTATGGAATTTATGAGCCTAATTGCGGCCTTGATAATGTTATGGTGTCTTGGGGTCATGACGAGGTATATTTCTGTCTACGTATTGTATTCTTCTCTGCTTATCAAACTTCTCGCAGTATCTCTACAATGTCGTTAAGGATCAGAGCTCGCTTCCAGCAGAAGGCCTTGCTATGATTAGGTATCATAGTTTTTATCCGTAAGCTTCTCTCAGTCTGCACTATCCACCGAATTTTTACAATATCTAATTAGATGGCACCGTGAGGGAGCTTACACACACCTCATGAATGAGAAAGATCGCGTATCCCTTCAGGCCGTTCGCGCCTTCAACCCTTATGATCTCTACTCGAAGAGTGACAAGCCCTGCGACACTGAAACACTTCGTCCATACTACGAGGGCCTCATTGCTAAATTCTTTCCTTCTGAGATTGACTGGTAGGTGCGCGTGATAGCGCGCACGACTTTATTTTAAAATTATAGACGACCGTCTGGTAATGTAGACATAGCCTTTTAGTCGATATAGAGGGCAAAACCCGTGCAGCTTAGATGTGTATTTTTTAGAAGCTTTGTGTCCTTAGTTGTTCCATCTACTTTATTGCAGCAGTATCCCAATGTTCGTATAGAGGCCTTTATTAGCATCTACATAATTTAATTTATTGTCACAGAACAGCGAGTTTGAGAGATAAGATAATGATTGGCGCCCGCTTTGTATTAACCAACGTGCAACCTTGACTGCGCCACCACTGAAACTTATCGCTCCCATATCTCACGGACTCAGCCTTCACCATCTTTCACTCATTCCTTCTATCTTGCTAGACAATATATATCCGGATATACTAGACAACCCGCCGTTCTACAATGTCGCAGGAATCACCTATTAGTGAACCAGTCATCTACCACGGCAAGAAATTTATCGTGCTCAGCGATTGGTGCGTAAACTCTAGATCTAGATCTAAGCGGCGATGGCACTGATCGCTGTACTCAAACAGGGACGGCACGATCACCACGCAGGACTCCAATGATTGTTCGTCGCGTCGAGAACTTACTATGTGCCTCACTGACTGAAGTACTACCATTCAGTTGTGACGGACACCTTTGGGATGGGGCGCTCAGATCGCTTTGCCCTCAATCAGCGTATACGTAATGGCGAAGATAACTTCCGGTGCGAAACATTGCATGAACAAAGCCGCAGAGCTGATTTCGTCATTCAGGGATGCCTTCCGGAAGATGATCGTGAGCGTCGTTGAGAATGGCAAGGAGGAAGGCAAGGTGACGCATACATTCGAGTTCTGTAAAAATGCTGTCGCGAACAGTAAGTTTTGTCCACGCACGATGGGCGTTTGTTGTCCAGAGCTAATGTCTAGATTGTTTTAGATATCAAAGTCGATGATACCTTCAAGGGTTTCTACGAATTTTGCGAAACGAATGATATACCCGTGGTAATTGTGTCCAGGTACAAAAAAACTTATGGTTTCACCGTGCTGTAAATTCATTCCTCTGCAGTGGTATGGAACCTATCATCCGTGCCGTGCTGAACAAGCACCTCGCTAGCCTCGACGGCATTCAAATAATATCAAACGAGGTGAAAACCTACGATGATGGGAGCTGGGACATCCAATACCGTCATCCCGAGAGGTAACATTACACATCGCTGTTTCGCGTTTGACTGAGCACGATAAATTAGCGGTTTCGGACATGACAAGTCGAAGGCGATTGCCCCATACAGGAATATGCAGCCCGCCCCGATAGTATTCTTCTTCGGTGATGGCGTCTCAGACCTATCCGCAGCGCGGGGAGCGACTTGTCTGTTCGTCAAGTACAAGCCGAATGGAGAGAACGAATTGATGGAATACTGCCTCATGAACAAGATCAAGCACCGGTTGTTCCAGAGCTTCGAGGAAGCGCAAGGTTTGATGAAGCTCATCATCTTCGCGGAGACGGAGGAAGAGCGACAGAGTATCATTACACGGGAATGGCCTGAAGTAGCTTGAGAGGTTGTCTCACTTCACCCCAAGTGATGGCAATCGCAGGACGGTCTTTAGTACTCGTGACACGGTGTATTTAGATCTAGGGGTATCAAGATTGCGCCTTTAATTGTTCAAGTCGAACCCAGCTCGTTATTCTCGGCGTGTCAGTGCCTTCGCCCGCAACTTCGCCTGAATACGCCAAGCACAACCGCGATTTTCAACCAACCAAATGATGCAACAAAATCTCAGGCGTGCCCTAGTCACGACAGGTGTTGGGCAATAACCAAGTTGGCTTGATAACGGGATGCTGGGGTGGGTGGGGATTTCAGTGTGACTAAACATAGTTTCAAACCGACTAAGCGTTGGAGATGCTTGGGTACAGGAAAATGCGTGGGTTGCAATCATAGAATGGGAATGAGATTGGCGGGGGAGCGAAAGATCCATGGAAGCGATTAACGAGAGTTCTATCTTGCAAGGACAATGGCGGCGCCTCCCTCAATGGAAGTCTATAAGTTGAAAAAGAGATGGTTGCGCTGCAATTGATACTTCGAATTCGAGGTACTCTAGTGAAAGAAAAAGATAAGACGAATCATCGCAAAGAAAGCT